CCTGCCCCAGACTCACTGAATCAGAATCAGCATTTTAACATCTCAGCGCACTGTTAGGTGGTGGTAAGCCATGGAGAAAAACTACAGCAGGGAATGGGCATAGGGTGTCCCAGGGGTTGGGAGAAGAGGTGTAGGGAGGCGAGTAGTCTCCAGTGGGGATGAATAGGTAAACAGCTTTGCAGGCTCAAGGGTGGAGAAGTACAAAAGCCATGAGGCCGAGATGTGCCTGCATGTTCCCATCCAGCTGGGAGGCCTGTGTGTCTGGAAGGGAGAAGTAAGAGGAAGGTTGTCAGAAAAGAACCAAAGACCGTAGGACAGTGTCTGGGCCTTGTAGGCACTTTGCAGATTTGAGCGTCCTTCTGAGTGAGAGAGGAAACCTGGTAAATTTTGAGCAGACATTAGCCAGGATTATATCACATGACAAGGATGACCGGGCTGCTGAACTGGGACTGACTCGGAGCGCAGGGACTGGAGACCATTAAGAGGCGATGGCCCTGATGCAGCAGAGATGCGGTCTGGCCCTTGCAGGAGCAGTTTGGTGGAGAGAAGTGACCCCATTCTGGATGCATTTGAGAGTAAAGTAGGCATGACCTGCTGATGGCATTGCCTGTGAGGTGTGGGGAAAGAAAGGGTACAGGGTGATCTCCTGTGTTCTGGTCTGAATGGAGATGGGGAGCCTGCAGGAAGAGCAAGCTCCCCAAACTTCCCACAAGTTCCCTTGGAGAAAGATGGACTGGAACCTCCTGGTTCTGGGAGGAGAGCCCCAAGCGGAAGGAAGTGCCCTAGAGAACTTGATTTCAACTGGATGGATTTTTTTGCAAAGTTTGCTTCCTACTCTCTAGTGGGCCGTGTTCTTAACACAGAGCATCCCAACCAGGAAAACAAAGGCGAGAGGGGCATGGGACAGGCTGAGGGAGCAGGCCGGGAAGTGACAACCTGGAAGACATGAAGGGTAGAAGTTGATGAGCTAGGGCTTGGGGGTAGAGACACCAGGAACAACCTGAGCTGAGGTTCCAGGGCTGGAGGGAGCCTGGATTTAATAGGCTAGAAAAACGTAGCGGGAGTGTGTATGTGGGGGGTGGGGGGATTGGGGGGATTGGCAACTGTGGCTGGTCTAAGAGACTGAGGACTTAGGTAGAGGCCAAATGCGGGTGGCCTGGGGGCTCAGTAAGAACTATCCTAGAACAATAAGAAACATGAGTGGCTTGGCTGGAGCAGACATAATCAGATTGACTTTTAAAAGATTCCTCTGGCTATTGCCTGGAGCATGGCTCGAAGGGTGGGTCAAAGTGGATGAAGGCTGACTTGTGCCGCAGGTGAGAGAAGCTGGGGCTTGGGCTGGGGAAGCGGCAGAGAGGATGGACGACAGGGAGTAAATTCCAGGGTGTTTAGTAGGCAGAATGGGCCCGGCTTGACGGTATGTAGATTTTCTGCCAACCTGAGCCCTATTTAAGCAGGGCCTGCATGGGTGGGATGGACAGGAACACTGCCCAACACCCCTTCCCCCATCCCCCACCCTTATGGTTGGAGGTCACCACAACATGAGGAACTATATTAAAGGGTCACGGCATTAGGAAGGTTGAGAACCACTGAGCTAAATGATATTTCACAATATTTCTAACCACCCTCCCCCATCCTCCTCCCTGTGAAACAGCCTGGACCTCTCCTCTCTTTACCAGCACTTGCCGCGCTGGTTTTACATATTTGAGTGGGGTGTACGTTGTCTGGCCACCGCGCTAGACCAGTGATTCCCAACTTGTGTGCCTCAAGAATTTTTAAAACATGCAATACCTGATTATTTAGCCAGGGGCACTGACCACTTTTCCCTTACTGTCAAAGTTAAAAAAGGACAACAGCCCCGTGGTGTGGCTCAGTTGGTTGAGTGTCCGTCCCATGACCACCAAGAGGTCGCAGGTTTGATTCCCGAGCAGGGACATGCCCAGGTTTCGAGGCTCCATCCCCAGTAGGGGGCATGCAAGAGGCTACTGATGGATGTTTCTTTCTCTCCCCCCTTCTCTCCAAAAACAATAAAAACGGATTTTAAAGCAACAACAACAGCCAACACACAATGGCCATCCAATGTGAATAAGTCACAATTACACCCTTTTTTGGTGTGCCACAAAATGACAGTAGTTAGTTTATGTGTGCCATGGGATGAAAAGTTGAAAATCGCTGTACTAGACTCTAAGCTTCCCCAGAGCAGAGAATACCTCTGTGTAGTTCTCATATGTGCCCCGTACCTAGCATAGCCCCTGGCTCAGGGTACATGCTCACTGAACATGTGTCACGGGCGGGTGGGCAGAGAACATGACATATCACACCAGTTTGCAACTCACACCACAGGTACACCGCACATGAGGAAACAGACGACCCTGAGAGAATAAGACAGTTATGCAAGTTGACACATGAGTAAGCAACTGGCCTGGCTTCAATCAACATCAGCCCAAAGGCACGCGGACCAGGAGCAGGGTTGCTGAAACCCAGCCCCAGCCGGTACCTGTGGGTGAGCCCTGTCTTAGCATTCCGGCACCTTCCTCTCTGGCCGGCACTCTGGACACTTGGCCACCATTTAGCACGATCAGATCTTCCGCTGTCTGCTTTTTGACTCTTCCTCAGCCTTCCATATTCAGGAAGTGACCTGAGTTCTCTCTAAAATTCCATTTCACCTCCCCAGAACCCAGAATCAAAACACCCTCTACACTGCCCAGCCAGTGTTGCTCAGTGGTTAGGAGTTGAACTATGAAGCAGGAGGTCATGGTTTAATTCCCTGTCAGAACACATGTCCGTGTTGTGGGCTCGATCCCCAGTAGGGGACATACAGGAGGCAGCAGATCAATGATTCTCTATCATCATTGATGTTTCCATCTCTCCCTCTCTCTTCCTCTCTAAAATCAATATAAAAATATATTTAAAACAAAACACTAAGCCACTCTCCTGGCAAATTCAGTCTAACTTCAGGTTCTCTTTATGGAAGGATGTTTTAGGATCAGACAGGCCAGACCCTGGCTCCAAAGCCTCACCTCTCAGCTGGCACCCTATGTAGCCACATGGGCCTCGGATACTCAGTGTACGCAAAACACGGCTGCTTTGCTGGCCAGAGCTGAAAAAGGAGCAACCTAAATTTGCAGGAGGTTTGTTTAGTTATTTATTTATTCATTCATTCATTTTAATGATTTTGGAGGGGAAGGGGGAGGGAGAGAGAGAGAGAAACATCATTGATGAGAGAGAACCACTGATCGGCTGCCTCCTGCACGCCCCCGACTGCGGATCAAGCCCAAAACCTGGTCATGTGCCCTTGACTGGAACCCAACCCAGGACCCTTTAGTTCGCAGGCTGATGCTCTATCCACGAGCCAAACCAGCTAGGGCAGGATTTTATTTTATTTTATTTTATTTTAAATCATGGTCCTTACCTGCCCAGATACTCTAAGCAACCCTCTTAAAAATGAGGTAGATCCTTTATGCACTGAAACACAAAATGGGTCTAAATATATTATTTGGAAAGAAAAACTGACTTGCAAACTAGAATGTACAATCTGACCTCACACCTGTTGGCTGCTGGGTCAGAGTCCAGATAAAAGTCTGCAGTAACACCATGATATGTATACCCAGTAGTTAGCTCTAGGGGGTGGAATCAGAGAAATGGATTTTGCAATTGCTGTTGTAATTTTTTTAAAATTAGCACACACACGTATTTGTTTTGATTAAATGGGAAGACTAATAAAAACAATGAAGGAAAATGGAGACAATTTCTCAGAAGAGACCACCAGTTACACATTAAATGCTTCTGGCCCTCATTCCAGCGTCCTCAGGAGAATATTAATAGCTAATAGTCACTGACCGGTTGCTTGGTGCCCAGCACTGTTCCAAGCCCTGCATTTGTAATCACTCTTTTAGTCCTCACACCTGTAAGGCTGGTATCACTATCGGAGTTGTTTACACAAAGCTCTGAACCTCCTTTGCCTGGGTTCAAATCTTCGCTATTCAATGTTGTGACCTTAAATGTATTATTTAAATTCTGTAACTCAGTTTCCTCATTTGTAAAACAAATAATAATAGGTCCAGATTTTAACACAGTAAATGGCATCTTCCTCTGTTCTTTCACCCCAGTCATGAGATTAATATATATATGTGTGTGTATATATATATATACACACACACACACAGTGACATATAAATAGTATGTATACATACACACATCATGTATGTGTAAGTGGGAGCATGTCGGTGACCCCTATTTCCTTCTTGGCACATAAGCACAGGGACCAGCCAGTTCTGTTTTTATAGAATTTATGAGTGATTCTTAGTTTAATTTAGTTGCTTGACATTCTATTTTTGTTTTCTTAAAATGACTTGAGTTTCTTATTTTTATTTATTTATTTTGTTAAAAATATGCTTTTACTGATTTTTTAGAGAGAGAGGAAGGGAGAGGGATAGAGAGATAGAAACGTTGGTGAGAGGCCTGGATCAGCTGCCTCCTGCACGCTTCCCACTGGGGAGCGAGCCCACAACCTGGGCATGTGCCCTGACCAGGGATCAAACCAGGGATTTCTTGGTTCATGGGTTAATGCTCAACCACTGATCACACAAGCCCGGCTCTCATCTTTATTACGTAAGTAATAGTATTTATGGCAACCACAACAACAACAAATCACAAAGTGTAATTAAGAAAAACTAAAATTACCCATAATCCCCAAACCCTAGGGTAACTACTGATTAATCTTATACACTTATTATATATGTCTAGGTCCTAAATTTACAGTGTCTTAAGACTCATTTTCTTGGTCCATTTCTTTTATTATTTTCAGTCTGTGTAAAAAAATATTCATTTTCAGCATTATGTCTCTACATGGTGTTTACCTATAAGAACATAGTATAATCTCCACTAGGGATTTGAGAACCTGGCCTTTTCATCGCAAATACATTCATAGTAAAATAATGCATTTAACCGAAAGGTTTTTCCTTCATCTTCCCAACAGAGATTCATCCATAGTCCACAGAATGGAAAACTCTGCGACTTCCGACGCTTTCCAGCACGAACTCGAAGACTATATTAGGAGGCAGAAAGCCAGAGGGTTGCGACCAGAGACCTGCTTTAAGAAGGTGACAGCGGGCTGTGCGTGCGGAGGGAGGCACCGCACTGCGCCCGAACCCCCGGTGCTGGAGCCCGGACTCCCCTCGAGGAGCGCCCACGCGTTCCCGGGTTCCCACACAAGGCTGACAACAGTGGGCAGCCCGGTACCCCGATGGCCCAAGATCCATCGCCCCGCACCACGCCTGGAATCTCTAATCCACGGTCAGAAAAACCACTATTTCTTCAAAAACGCGTGGCTTCCAAGCCCACCTGCGCGAGGCGGGACCCCCGGCCCCCACGCAGCACGAGGCGGAGATGCTGCCGGCCGCCGCCTCCGGGAGGGCCGCCCGCGCGCGCATCAGGCCGGCGATCGGGACCATCGGGACCGAGGCCGGAGGAGAAGGTCCGGGGAGGAGGGCGGCGACCTCGGCCGGGAGCGCGGAGCAAAGCGGCGGCAGAAGAAGCGTGGTGCGGAGGGAGAGGCCTGCAGAGAGGAGGGGAGAAGGGCGGAGGGGGCGCCAGGGAGCGAGGAAAAGCGAGAAGGTGGGAAGACCGACGGAGAGCAGGGCGCCCCCAAGAGGAGAAGCCGGTCCCGCAGAGAGAAGCAGCCCCCAGGGAAGGGAAGCGCGCAGGAGAGGGGCCTGTGGGACCTGTGGGATGAAGCGATCCTGGGCAGCTGCTGCTGATGGGACATCAGTGACATTATTCTGATAGTAAATGATCGGACCCGCTGGGAAGGCTGGATTAAATGACAGTGAAGCCACCAAGAAAACAAATTTGGGTTCCCAACTCAGACTCTGTAAATCCCAAACCCAGGTGGTTTAAAGACATAAATGTAGAACTAGTAAGGGAAAATGGGGTTTTTTTTTTTTTCTTAAAGTATTACAAAGAGTATTACACATGTCTCCTTTTTCGCCCCCACCCCTTGACATTCCCCGGGCTTCCCCCACCCCCCAGTGTCTTGTGTCCATTGGTTATTCTCATATGCATGCATACAAGCCCTTCGGTTGATCTCCTACCCCTCCCCCCAACCCTCCCCAGGCTTCCCACTGTAGTTTGACATTCTGCTCAATGCTGCTCTGCCTCTGTATCCATTTTTGTTCATCAGTCTATAACGGTCCTTATTATCCATAAATGAGTGAGTTCATGCGGTATTTTTCTCAGCTTCCCAGGGGCCGTCTCAGCCTCACCGGGGCCAATTCAACCTCACCGGGGCCGTCTCAACCTCAGAGGGTCCGTTTCAACCTCACTGGGGCCGTTGCAACCCCACTAGGGCCGTCTCAGCCTCACCGGGGCCATTTCAGCCTCACCAGGGCCATCTCCACCTCACCGGTGCCGAAAAATAGGGTTTTTGATTGTTGTTTTCTTGTTGTTGTTATTTTGTGTTGTTAATCCTCACCTGAGGATATTTTTCCATTGATATTTTTAGGGAGAGTGGAAGGGAGGGGGAGAGACAGAGAGAGAGAGAAACATCCATGTGAGAGAGACACATGGATTGGCTGCCTCCCGGCACACACCCCTATTGGACCAGGTGTGGAACCTGAAACCCAAGTACTTGCCCTTGACTGGGAATGGAGCCCAAGACCGTTGGGGTGCACAGGCCTATGTTCTAACCACTGAGTCACCCACCAGCCAGGACTAGACTAACTTTTCAAAGTGTACATTTAGCCCCAGCCCATTTGGCTTAGTGGATAGAGTGTGGGCCTTCGGACCAAAGGGTCCCAGGTTCAATTCCAGTCAAGAGCACATACCTTGGTTGCAGGCTCCTCCCTGGCTGGGCCCTGGTCTGGGCTCATGCAGGAAGCAACCAATCGATGTATTTCTCTTACATGGATGTTTCTCTCTGTCTTTCCCTCTCTCTTCCACTCTCCCTAAGAAGTCCTACATATTCTGTACAACTGAAATTTGACTCAAAGCTCTGAAATAATGATACTCATAAATACTGGGTGGGGCAAAGTAGGTTTACAGCTCTTC